GCAGCGGACAACAAACCCCCCCCAGCCACAACCACTGTACAACGAGTACGCGGTTATTACAGCTGACAGTGATGATGATGAGGTTAATGGAAGCACCTAAATCGGTGATTACATTATGCGTAAGCCTTCACAGAGGCAAACCACGAACATCCCATGTCAGTTAACTTATAGTTAGAAAAAGGCAAATATTAATTTACGTTTTTTACTTGATGAGACAACTCATCTGAACTGCTTATGAATAGGCGGCGTGGCATTAATCACAAGTCCCATCATAAAGAATCGAGGCACAAGCCTTATAGTTACTGTTCATGAAAAACTGTTCATGAATGTCACAAGCCGGAGGGTGCATGGCAGACAACTTTCTCGCGAGGCGACTGCGGCAATTCACTGGATTTTTCACGATTCGAATAAACAGTGGAAAGTATTGTAACACGACGTTTCGAAAAGTTGCTGGACAAAACAACGCTGACGGGTTTCCTGAGATTAGCAAATAAGTCTTTAGGTGACGAACCAGTCCAGTCATTCGGGATGTAACACTCATTGAAGGAACAGTCTAAAATATGCCGCCCGGTTGAGCCTGAAATTCGCAACTAATGTCCACGCCTCCATGTCAGCTTCATTTTCAATGATAATGATGAAATTGGCAAACATATCCGGAGTATGACATTATTAGTTCAACGGAAACACGAATTTTTAAAACCGCCATCATTGTCACACTCCTGTGAATTCCGATTATGGTGACACCAATGGATCATGTCACCCAGGGGCTTTCAATCTCACAAAATCAAGTTTTGAAAAAATAGAATCGCCAACTCAGTACTAATTTTTTATCCCATCCGAATGGAGAATTCAATCTGAGATACCGTCAGGTGGTGTGAGTCTAGAGCGCAGTAGTCGACGTGACAATGTTTGAATTAAACCACGAGCTTTCGGGTTTGCGACCGAGCTATCTTGGGTTGATTGTAAGAAGGGCTCGTCGAATTATTGTCCAAAAACCTGCATATGGGCAAACCATTGATCGGTCTTGTCCGCGACCAATCTAACTAGGCATTTTATTAAAAATGTGTGCCCTAGGTGGCGTTTGAGGACTCGATGTGCAGCCACCATTGTTTTTTTTTTCAAAAATCATACAGACGTGTGTGCAATATGCGGCTCTCCATTCTGCATCCCTAAACTGGTTCGGTCAGCTTGAATTCCGGTGCTATTCAAACAGATTATCGTGTTCTCCTTGTAAACCTATGGTCCAAACCCAAAAAGATACGCCATTGTAAACGCCGTTTGAGATGACTAGATTTTGTACCGAAGACTTTGGAAGTTTATGAGCAGGTGATATTTGCTCCCTGCAAAATTTGGCAAAAAACACTGCTGAAAGAAGTTGAATTCGTTTGACATAAAACGGATTAAAATGTCTCACAACGAACTTTCAGCAACGCGAGACAGAAGTCTAATTCGTTTCACCTTGGTCACCATCGTAAGCCTAATCAGGTCAAACAGATTACAAACGAAATTTTGGTTAGTAATCTAACAACCAGATCACTATCTTTGCTGCGCAAAATATGAAGCGTCTTTCGCTTTGTTTCTTTAGGATGATGGGAATATTCCATTGTGACAAAGTACACAACCTCAATCAAAGTAATCCTTATGTGCCGTAAAAAGTGAAAATGTAGCTACAGGTGAAAAAGGCCTTTGGACA